TCTTCATATAAGATAATGTTTATCTGAAACCTTAATGAGAAGAAATTGTCAGAGTTGATGCTCTCCAAGGAGTGATCAACAAATATGAAACTCTAGCCATAGAAGTAAGCATGATATAAAGAAACTAGTCTTTAGCTATAACTAGGCTATGTAAAGGCAAGATGTTTGCAGTAGTATTATATTAAAAAATAGGGTATGGATTTTAATATCAGAATCTGTCACTGAGTGATGAATTTTATGGTTCTGAGGGGGTTTTCTTCAGACCAAGAATGAGAGAAAAAAGGAAAGATTCAGACAACATGAAAGTCAAAGGACTGAACAAATCCTTGAGGCTATTTGGGAACTTAATTTAAAACTCTGAAGAAATAATTAGGCCAGAAGCAAATACCAAAGCCAAGCTTAAAGAGCCAATAATATGTGAATCACAGTTATTAGCCAGAAGAATGTAGCTGGTTACTACAGCAGTCCAGTGGAAGTCTGATGCTGCTGCTGCTAAGTCGCTTCAGTCGTGTCCGGCTCTGTGCGACCCCATAGACGGCAGCCCACCAGGCTTCGCCATCCCTGGGATTCTCCAGGCAAGAACACTGGAGTGGGTTGCCACTTCCTTCTCCAATGCATGAAAGTGAAAAGTGAAAGTGAAGTCGCTCAGTCCTGTCCCAATCTTTGCGACCCCATGGACTGCAGCCCACCAGGCTCCTCTGTCCATGGGATTTTTCAGGCAAGAGGACTGGAGTGGGGTGCCATTGCCTTCTCTGCCAGTGGAAGTCTAACACACCAAAATCTGGGGCATTATGGCAGAAGAATTTAACCTTTTAAATGAAATCTATAGTATTCTGTAATCAACAGATTTTGAGAAATTGTATAGAGGAAAGTCCACTGGGATTTGGTTAATGGTTTCTGTATAATTGAGTAAAAGATAACGTAGTCATTCACTGAACATAGATAAAAAGGGAGCAACTATTTTTGAGATTGTTGTTCAGTCGCTAAGTTATGTCCAACTCTCTGCAATGCAATGAACTTCAGCAGGCCAGGCTTCCCTGTCCTTCACTATCTCCCAGAGTTTGCTCAAACTCATGTCCACTGAGTTGGTGATGCCATCCAACCATCTCATCAGATCATTTAGTATAAAATGAATTTTGAAATCTGTGCAGGGTATCCAGGTGGAGATCAAATCTTCTTAGTTTGTCTGAAACTTGGCTCATCAACTGGATACCCCATAAAGGTTTCAAAAAGAAGATGAAAGATGTATTCTGTTGAAAGTTATGGAGTTTGGAAGTTTTTTGATGATGAAATAGGGGTGTAGAGCACACAGATTATTAAGGAGGTTATCAGTTGCAAATGAGTCAGTGACAGAGTGACAGAGCAAAAGCAAAAACTCTGAACTTCAATGAGAAAGAACCAATGACTGCAGGTCCTTGAAAGGTCTGTGGCACTTTGTTTTAGATAAAAGTAAGTCATGCACTAGACAGGCTTCCCGTCTGGCACCGATAGTAAAGAATCCATCTGACAATGCAGGAGACGCAAGAGACTTGGGTTTAATCCCTGGGTCAGGAAGATCCCCCAGGGAGGAAAATGGCAACCCACTTCAGTAATTTTGCCTGGGAAATCCCATGGATGGAGGCAGTGGTGAGCTACAGTCCATGGGTCACAAGGAGTCCGAACAGCTAAGAATGCATGTATGCAGGCACTCCACAGGCTTGGATGAAGTGACACCTATCTGTGTGGCTAGTGTAATAAGAAACTTAGCTCAGATGTTCCCCTTTTCACTGCCCAAAACTAACCTCAACAAAGTTACTTGTGGGATTAGCCCAAGTTGAAAAATTAATTGTGATATTTGAAGTAGGATTTATGAGATTCCTACAATCAAAAGCAGGTAATAAATAGATTTTGAGTGAATAAAACAAAAAACATTATCTTTTTATTAACAGGGAATTTAAGGGCAGTTGGTATTGGAGCACCAGCTATCTGAACCACAAAACAGTCACCAGTGATAAATACAAAATTTATTTTCCATACTTGAAGAAATATTAAGAGTGGACATAGGATGTAGTAAGTGGGGTGGTCATTGAACAGGGAGTACACACTTGACTTTTGTTGTTTGTTAATTAATAGTTGCTCTTACTTTGATGTGTTTTCCTAAAATTTAAAGTAAAAAATTTCCTAATTTTTCAAAACTATTTCAGGGAGATTATCAAACAATGAACTGGTCTGTAAAATTTTATCAGTGTTATTTTACTACACCCATTATATATTCTTCCTAAGAAAGATTTTTTTTTCCTTTTTCCATTATTCATAAACAACCAAAACTTTGAGCACTGTATGTGAACTATAAGATTCTCAAACATTACATCTTAAGATAACAGAATATTTATTGGCCTGTACAAAGACACTTACTCCTTGGAAGGAAAGCTATGACCAACCTAGACAGCATCTTAAAAAGCAGAGACATTACTTTGCCAACAAGAGTCCATCTAGTCAAGGCTATGCTTTTTCCAGTGGTCACGTATGGATGTGAGAGTTGGACTGTGAAGAAAGCTGAGCACTGAAAAATTGATGCTTTTGAACTGTGGTGTTGGAGAAGATTCTTGAGAGTCCCTTGGACTGCAAGGAGATCCAACCAGTCCATCCTAAAGGAGATCAGTCCTGGGTGATCATTGGAAGGACTGATGCTGAAGCTGAAACTCCAATACTTTGGCCACCTCATGCGAAGATTTGACTCATTGGAAAAGACCCTGATGCTGGGAGGGATTGGGGGCAGGAGGAGAAGGGGGTGACAGAGGATGAGATGGCTGGATGGCATCACCGACTCGATGGACATGAGTTTGAGTAAACTCCGGGAGTTGGTGATGGACAGGGAAGCCTGTCCTGCTGTGATTCATAGGGTCGCAAAGAGTCGGATATGACTGAGTGCTGAACTGAACTGAACAGAATTGCATATAACTTGTTTGAAGTTTTTAAGTGGAAAAATAGTAAGAATATTTTGGAGCCTTAATCATCACAACATCTTGTCAACAAACAGCTCGCTCTCTCTCTTTAAAGCTATTCTTCTTCATTCAAGTGAAACAGTTTAAAGCAGAGTAAAACACAAAGGATATGCATTAGAAAACTGTTCCACACTACAATGGGGTGCTTAGTAAGTTGCTGTCAATTTTGGAGCAGGTTATATTATCAGGAATGCTGGGAAGTAATTAAGGTGTCATTTTATTTAGATACCATTGCCTTATACAGTAGCCAATTTATTTTTAAATACAGCTATGCTAAGGCATCAAATATTGCTCAGGCGCTAAAGATAAGCAGACTGGTTTCAAATTCACTTACTAGCATGTGACTTTATCCAGGCTACTAAGCCCCTGAAGCATCAGTTTTTTTCACCTTTAACTTTAGTAAAATAATAGTACCTACTGTACCCTACTTATAGGGAGGTTTTATTAAATAATGTATATAAAATGTTTATAAAGTGTGAGTATGCTCATTTGCATCCAACCCTTTGTGGCCCCTTGGACTGTAGCCCACCAGGCTCCTTTGTCCATTGGATTTTCCCGGCGAGAATACTGGAGTGGGTTGCCATTTCCTCCTCCAAGGGGGTTATAAAGTACATATTGTTACAGCTTTTATTAGAACATGAGTACAACAAGGCAGAAGTAAGGGGTAGGATCACATTTAAAGTATTACAGAGAGCACTTTAGTCACTGTATAAAATTATTTCTTTTATCCTAAAGCATATGGTCTGATTTATAACACTACACTATTAACTGACTCATGATCAGATAGTTTTCTTATTATTTGTGAAGACCTGCTCAAATTGCCCCGTGAAAGAAACTCTTTTCTATGTTTTACTTTCTTACACATTTTCCTCTAATTCACAGATAGTAAGCATCCTATTCATTGTCTTTTCTTAATGTGTACCTAGTGAATTCCAAGAAGAGAAATGGATTCAGCAGCATAATATCAAGATGATATCTGTCATCAAAGAATGAGTGCTATTTTGACAGCAATTCACCTGGTGGCTGAGCATTTATCTCTGGTAACACTGGAAATTCAAACCTGTCAGCAGCCGCCAGTTAAATGGAAAGATTAGTAGAGCACATGTTCAACAAATAGGTTTACTCCAGAAAGATTCAACGGAGTCCTTATTTGGTTTTACACTTTCTCTATAAATTGTAGCTTTATTGATTCAAGAAGCTACATTGATTAAGTAAAAATAACTAAACAATTTCTTCCATTTACATATTAGAAGTCAACGAAAACTCTGAAGCATGTAAGGTTCTTGAGTTTATCCAGTTGTAAGGTTAACATGAGGCTTCAAAATGAACATGAACATGTCAATCTAAATGTATGCAACTAGCGTGACAGTGGGGAAATTTGGGGGCTGATTAGTCAGCAAAATGCTAGAAGTAAAGGAAAATCACAAGAAAGCAGTGCCCATTCATTGGTCAGCTTTTAAATTTCTATAGCTAGTAATAGAAAATATAATGGGAAAGCCCCACAGAGACTGAGGTATGGAGTTTTTACCAAAACAAATTAAGCAAAAAAGCAGAGTAAGAGAGTGTTACAGGCTGAGTTGTGCTTCCCCCCATCAAAAAAATTCTTACATTGGAAATTCTAACCCCTAGCACCTCAGAACATAAACAGATTTGCAGATAAGGTCTTTAAAAGGATAATTCAATTAAGAATTGAGGTAATTAAGTATTAAGGTCTTTAGGGTCCACCCTAATATGACTAGTGTCCTAGAAAGGTCACATCTGAACACAGACTTGCACACTCACAGATGAAAGATGAGGTGAAGATAGAGGAAGTAGCTATCCGTAAGCTAAGGAGAGAGGCTTCAGAAGAAATCAATCCTGTAAACACAGATGTCTTGATCTCAGATTTCTAGCCTTCAGAATAAAGAGAAAACAAATGTTTAAGTCATTCCATTCTGTGCTTTGTTATGGCAGTCCTACCTAATAAAGAGAAAAACAAGAGGGCCAGGTTGGGGAAGGCCAGTATTCCACTTCTTCCAAGGTCATATCATGCCATCATCCCCATCCTTCCAAAGTGGTCATTACCCAGTCTCTAAGAATCTAGATCTTCAAGAGGGCATTTGAGGTATAAACATTTTCTTAATCTCCTTGGTGGTCTTTACTTAAATTTTTTTGTACATTATATTGGAACTAATCATTAACTCTCTTCCTGTTTCTTGACAATATTTCTGTAATAATCTTCATTCAAAGGAAGAAGCCTTTGACCAGTTGAGTGTTGGCAAAAGAAGTCACGGGGGTTGATGCATAGATTGACCCACTTAGATCAACACATAGGTTGACCTTCTCAAACATATACTATTATGATTGAACACTAGATATTCAAGTGTATGTATTATTTAAAATTTTCAGTTTTAAATTAACTAATAGAATCCAAAAGCATTAATAAAACAAGATAACTTATTGAAATATTAATGTTTGCTTGTTTTTTCTTTTCTTTTTTTTTTTCTTTTTTTGCTTCTCTGCCCCTCTTATTATCTTCCACCAAAAGGGAGCCAGCCTTTGGAAGTCCAAGGATTTTGATGGTGTGGAAAACTTCAGAAGTAAGTTATACAATATATTCTTTTTGTCTTTTGAGAAAATGGCTGGAATGTCAACATAGTTAAAAATACAAACTTCACAACAAGCCTCACCATTCTCTAACATGTTTAGTTCTGTTTCTAGGAGACAAGTCAGCTCAACATTCATGAGCCCTAAACCAACAACAAAGAAAAGAAAAGATTATGTTAGGTGTATAGGCAGAGTTTACATGAGGAGGTATCTTTAAGAATCAAGGAGGCAAAAAAAGTAGATTATGGAATGGAAGGTAGGATTCTAAATTCTACAGTAATGGGCATCTAAATACTTCTCCAGGGAAGTGCTGAACCAGGAAAGAGGACTCAGTCTTTTAAAAATTGGTTCTATGAACTATCTGTGCATGCTAATTTGCTTCATTCATGTCTGACTCTGTGAACCCATGGACTGTAGCCTGCCAGGCTCCTCTGTCCATGGGATTCTCCAGGCAAGAATACTGGAGTGGGGTGCCATTTTCTACTCCAGGGGATCTTCCTCACCCAAGAATTGAACCCGAGTCTCCTGCATTGGCAGGTGGGTTCTTTACCACTAGCACCACCTGGGATGCCCCATGGTGTGCCTAGGGAGATGCTATATCTGTTACAAAAAGACAGAAAAACAGATCCAAAAGCTTGAAGAAAGGCAGTTTATTGGCTTACATGACTGAAAAGTTTAGGAATTATTTGATCACCATTAAAATGATACCCCAGGATACAGTTTCCCATTCTCTATCTCTATCTTTTAGTTCTATTCACTATATCATCAGTGCTATTATCCAGCAAACTCTCCTCTCTTGGTTTTAAGACAGCTTAACTTACATGATTTGAGCTTCATATTTTAAGGGAAAAATGAGATTATGTTATCCAGGATGGCCTCCCTGAGGTAAGGTATCATTCATTTCATTACCCCTGAACCTGTCACACACATTCATCTATGAACCAATCACTGTAGCCAGAGGAACATGCTGTACTGATTGGCCAGGCTAAATTAATATGCATGCTTCTAGGTCTTGAGGTTAAAATCAGTTTTACCCAAACCACACTGGATGAGGTTGAAAAAAAATGACAGTTTTCAAGGACAAAAATGGTTACCAAAAATAGAATAGACAAGATTTCTAGATTCCACATCTAGCTTGAAAGCACAGAACTGCAGAACACCAAGGGAACACTGCAGACTTTGACAACATAAAGAAATGAAACTAGCATTATATAGTAAACAAGAGCTTAGAAGTCATTATCTCATTTGGTGGGATAGTGTCCAGATCTCCTGATTTCTGAAAGAGGAAGGATGCTCCTGTAACAATTGAGATGAAATTCTCATGCAGCATAGGAAAAGTACAACTTTGAGACCAATCTGAATTTATTTAAAAGTATGTACAAAGTAATATTTCTTTTACACTTGGATTTGTGCATTAAGTTTAATATCCTTTCATAAAGATCTTAGACTTGCTTGTAAATGCTGACCCAACAAGGATACTGAACTTATAAGGTTAAATGATATCAATGAAATCATGAAAGGTCACCGCAGAAATGCCAACATATACGTATATATGACTTGGGATAATGTCATTATGACTATTCATCAACTAATGAATATGTAAAACTATAACCATCCATTTACTGAAACCTATCCTAAAAACTAGAGCATTTCTTACAAAGTTATGGCATGAATTTAAGAAAAATGAATAGAGTGGACAGAAAGTAATGTTTTACTTTAAGACAAAGCCTCTTTAAAGAAATAAAAATAAAAGAAGAAAACAAAATCCATATATCACATTCCTCTTGATACCTCTCTGCTTTAACTCCTTTTTTGGGAAATATTAAAAATGTACATCTGTACTTCAGAAAGAAGAGAACTTTTGGTTACCAGCATTAGGATTGTGTTTTAATTTTTAAAAATGAAAACTAAATATGGATTCAAATATAAATTATATGGAAATATTTCAAGTCCTGAAAACATTTTTGCCCACATATTCCAGCAGAATAAATAATGAAACCAGATGACCTCCAGTGGTGACAGATGGGTTCGGCTTTTGACGATGTGATTCTTATATTCGCTCTAAGCTAGAACATCTTTAAACTTGATGAGGAATAAAGTGAAAATTTTATTACACAATATAAAATAAGACTCAGTCATATAAATTGCACGTGAACCTGGAGCATTAATTTGCAATAACTTGAGCTACATATAATTATATAAACATTTATTCTCTGTCAGTAAAGCAGAAGCAGTTTTACAATATAATAGTCCAGCTTCCAAGGATGGTGCAGGGTTGATAGTTAATTAGTTTTCTCCTTTATTTCACAAGAATATTTGAAAAATAATTCATTTTATTTCCCTTGATAATTTGGTTAACTGAATGATATGTTTCCCCAAGAGATATCTCCATGCCAAAAGTCAGTACCTTTAAAAGCCTAAGAAGTTTTCTTATTTGATTTATTTGTCTATCATTTAGAAATTAACTGCTCTCTATAGAAAGTTTATTTTATTATTGGGTTATGTAGTATTATTTTTTCCCTCTAGCACCCAAAACATTTATTTTAGAAAAATAGATTTTATTTTTATTACTCATTATGTTTTAATAAATAAGAAATCTAAAGAAACTTAAAATTTTATTATTTCTTAATAAGAAACCCAAACTTATATAAAAGTGTATATAAAGTTTCTTTGTCTCCTTCAGTATACTGAGATAAACTAAATGCCAACCATATATATGTTTATTTCATGGCAAGGTACCAAATTTTCCTCCTTTCTTTCCCAAGTTAGAGTTAGCTAGGAATCTTTTCATTTTGGTCTTAAATTGAATCAATGGGAGGCAAGTACGCATTCATTTTAGAATATATCACAGAATGATTTGTCACTATAACTTTCCTTAGGGAGCAATCTGCTACCAGATAAATGTTTTAGCTGCTTGCCATCAGATCATTCCAGTTATGGAATGCATCACTACTTTGACTCCTGTTTCTTTATTAGATTGGGTTGTAGACATTAGTATCTAATGTACATTTTTCAAGATACCAAGTATTGTTAAATCAAACAGTTAGGGAAAGTAGAGAGCTTTAATCTAAATATGACACGACTAAAATATGATGCAAATTAAATGACTGAGGAATGTAGGAAAATACAATCCCCTTGACCTTGACTCTAAGAACATTTCTTTCAAGGAACAATCCAGATCCCACCAGATGTTATCTGCAGTGGCTAAAACTCACAGTCATAATAATGAAAATGGAACATATTTATCTTCATCCTTTGGAATCTGTTAAAACAACAGTGAAATAATAATTTATGGTTTACGCAAAAATATATGAATATGAAAGATAGAAAATACACTGCAGAAGAAACCAAATGTGTCTCAGCATTCCAAACAGAAAATAAAAGCAAACAATATGTCATCGCTAAGCAGTAAAAATAGCTAACATTTATTTAACATGCGAAACACCTCAGTAGGCAGTTTACATTGATCATCTCATTTATTCCTTACAAAACCACTATCAGTAGGGTGTGTTTTTATTGCCAGTTTACTACTAAGGAAAGTGAGGCACCAAGAAGTTTTGTAGCTGGTGATCAGATTACACAACGGAGTGTCAGAATCTGGACATAAACCGGGCAGTTTGACACCAAGGTCAACACAGGAGACTTGAAAACTAAGATTTCTAGAGCGTGTACTATAAATACACTGAAAACCAATCATCTGTATTATAATTCTTTCTATAGTGAGTATTAGAAAAAATCTAAAACGGATGGGCACAAGGCAAATTTATGGCTTAATAGATCTAAGAGGCCCGAGAGTATAAATCACTTCAAGAGCAGCTTGACTCAAGGGCATACACAATGCCATCTCTCTCCATTTGCAGTTAGATTTTCCATGGCTTCTATATTTAGGTTTCATTTGGTATCAAGATGGTTCTCAGCAGTTATAAGTCCACATCTGCCAAGTTAAATTCCAAAGAGGAAAGGAAAGAGGGGAAAGGGAGAATATACTTCCACAGATGTGCTAGCCTGTATCTCTGCTGAATCATTTAGAACCATCCTCAATCAATCAATGTGACCAGAGCAATGTGAAGTTCTACTTGGCCTAATACACATATCTATTCTGGACCTAGAATCTGAACTAGAACAACCAAGTCATCATAGACTGGTCTTGAGATGTGTTCATTTCCTATGGAAAAATTGGGAACCTATTTACTTAAAAGGTTAAAAAATAATAATAATGGTAAAAATGAGATATCTAATATACAAATATATGCAGTCCTTCTTCAATTTGTAGGAATTACACCTCACCTTATATGTACACCTATATAGGATTTTTTTCCTCCAAAACTCTAACAGTATTGTAACTTCATTGTCTGAAACAGTGTGTGTAACTCTTAATAACTCATCTGATTGCTAGTAATAAAATATTGCTTATATCTAAAAATAAAAGGCAATGGGGTAATATATCATTTGACTACAAGAACTAATTAAGGAAATAATTTTATTTTTATCAGTTCTTTCCCCATAAGGCAGATACTCCAACTCCACAGTTTGGTAACATCTAGCCTGTAGTACTAAAACATTTACCATGACATACAACATATTACAAAAGCTAATCTAACTTACCTTCACGGCTGCCTCCCACAGCTCTCTCATTCTTACATACGAAACGTGTCATCACTTTTGAAATGCTCTGTTCCTTCATTCTTTTATGGTTTTGTGCTTTCCCCTTTTTTTTAAGACTGCTGTTTCCTGTCTACCTGTCTTTTCAACCAGATGAATTGATAATCATCTCTCATAACTATGGGGCTTCCCAGGTGGCACTAGTGGTAAAGAACCCGTCTGCCAATGTAGGAGATGTAAGAGGCATGGCTTCAATCCCTAGGTTGGAAAGATCCCCTGGAGAAGGAGATGGCAACCCACTCCAGTATTCTGCTTGAAAAATCCCATGGACAGAGGAGCCTGGTGGCCTACAGTCCATGGGATCACAAGAGTTGGACATACCTGTGACTAA